CTGTTCCCCTCGGCAGGGGCCGCTCGGGCGCTGCTCTCAGCACCGGGACGGACCCCGCGGCCCGGGCGCTGTTCCTGAGGGAGGTTCTGATGCCTCCTCCGTGTTCTCCTTCCTCCCAGAGAGAAGCAACCTGGCCGGGGTGCGGCACATCCTGCTGGTGCTCTCCGGGAAGGGCGGTGTGGGGAAGAGCACCATCTCCAGCCAGCTGGCCCTGGCCCTGCAGCGCTGCGGGAACAGGGTGAGCCAGGGCTGGGGGGGCTGAGCTCTGCACGAGGGGCACTGGATCCCACCTGCAGTGTTGTCCCCAGCTCTGGTGTCCCCAGCACAGGGAGGACAAGGAGCTGTTGGGCTGTATCCAAAGGTGGTTGCAAAAATGATCCCAGGGCTGGAGCAGCTCTGCTCTGGAGCCAGGCTGGGAGAGTTGGGGTGTTCAGGCTGGAGAAGAGAAGGCTCCAGGGAGACCTTAGAGCACCTTCCAGGGCCTGAAGGGGCTCCAGGAAAGCTGGGGAGGGACTTGGGACAAGGGCAGGGAGGGAGAGGACAAGGGGGATGGATGAAAACTGGCAGAGGGAGATTGAGGTTGGACATGAGGAGGAAATTCTTTGGTGTGAGGGTGGTGAGAGCCTGGCCCAGGTTGCCCAGGGAAGCTGTGGCTGCCCCATCCCTGGCAGTGTTGAAAGGCAGGTTGGATGGGGCTTGGAGCAGCCTGGGCTGGTGGGAGGTGTCCCTGCCCATGCAGAGGGGTTGGGAATAGATGATCTTTAAGGTTCCTCCCAACCCATTCCATGATTCTCCCTCACCATGGGCTGGGCTTTGCTCATCCTTTACACATCCACATCCTGTGGGGGTGACATGGAGATCCTCTGTGCACCTGTTGGTGACAGTGACTTGGATGGGTTTTTTCCTGCCCCTGATCCAGCACAGGTCACCACAGGGACCTTTCCCTCCATCCAAGAGACTAAAATGATCTGAGATCCATTGTTGGCTTTGAAGCCAAGGAGCCCAGAAATGGCTTTGCTGGTTTGTGGTGTCCCTTTGTGGGGTGAAGTGGGTGAGCTGAAGGAAGGGTTTACAATGGGAAAAAGGGAATTGTGGGGGGCAGGGACAGGCTGAATTCCATGAGGATTTTCTTAAAGGCTCCAGAGAGTCCATGCTACTTGGGTCCTGGGCAGGTGTCTGGGATAAAGATCTCCTGGAGGTGCTCCTGGAAGGGAAGACCAGGAGAGCAGTCAGATTTGAAAGCAGGTCTTTATGTTTCAAATCCAGCTCCAGAGTGTCCCACAGGGTGCTGACAGTGCCAAAATTTGGTTGCTGCCTTTCCCTGTTCCAGGGGAAGGAGCTGGGAGCTGCTGCCCTGCCTGAGAAGCTCTGCCTTGTCCCCCACAGGTGGGGATCCTGGACGTGGACCTTTGTGGCCCCAGCATCCCCCGCATGTTCAAGGTGCAGGACAAGGATGTGCACCAGTGTGACAGTGGGTGGGTCCCTGTCTTCGTGGGCCAGGACAAGAGCATCTCCCTCATGTCCATTGGTTTCCTGCTGGAGAGGCCAGATGATGCTGTGGTGTGGAGAGGACCCAAGAAGAACGGTACAGTTGGGTTTTGGTGCTGGTGGTGTGAGGAACCTTCTGTGGACCCTCCTGGAGGTGGTGGTTGTTCCTGCTGGGGGGCAGGTCATTCCCAGAGTGGGGGGGTTGGAAGGAAGCTCTGGAGATCACTCAGCCCAACCCCCTGCCAGAGCAGGATCCCCTAGAGCAGATCCCACAGGAACACGTCCAGCTGGGTTTGGAAAGTCTCTAGAGAAGGAGCCTCCCCAGCCTCTCTGGGCAGTGGACTCAGATCACTCAGGGATATGTTGTGCTGCCCTTGTCACCCAGGCTGCCTCCCCACCCCTGCCCCACTGTTCTCAGGGCACCTCCTGAAACCTGCTGGGGTTGGTTTGTTTGTTGTTTTCCTGTCTTTCTATTTCTGTAGCTTTGATCAAACAATTTGTTACTGACGTGGCCTGGGGGGACCTGGATTTCCTCATCGTGGACACCCCACCCGGCACCTCGGACGAGCACATCTCCACAGTGGAGGCCCTGAGGCCCTACCAGCCTCTGGGAGCAGTCCTGGTCACAACACCCCAGGTGGGCAGGGAGCTGCTGGGCTGG